AATATTGGTCCTAACACAACTTGTATTCACTATAGGAAGTGTATATTTAAGTGACTGTGAAACTATACTATTAGAACTAGGAGTATTAGCTAGCCATATTTTATAAATAAGTTTCATTTCAATTAATATGAGATTGAGATGGTATCCTCATAATATGTGATCACTGACACTTTCTTTTATTCTCCTTCTGTCCTATAAAAGATGATCAACTTTAATTTGCGTGGTGATTGATTGTGAATCAGAAAATCTCAAACTCATATTCTTAGCAAAGATTCCCATGCGCATCGGTTGACCACATATCACATGAAAGATCAGCAAATAATTCATCTTCCTTCGTCTCGAGTCCCACACTTCCTTAGGCGAGAACACTCAAGACGAAAGGAAGTAGAGTTATGTGTTGATCTTCAAATCTTTTTCCCTTAAATAGGACTGAATATTACCTTCCCACACATATCATAGTTAGTTGCCTCTATTCCCTAGCACAATCAGAGCAGTCCATTGGTGGTGGCAACGAGTCAACGATAACAGTCTGACTCTATGTCAGAGGTGGCGGAAAAATTCCGAAGTGACCGTTGCACTGCTCCGACCCTACAAGAATATGAATTTTTGTCCAATCACAAATAATAAGTTCAACTTATGGAATTTTAAATATTAGATCATATTTTAAAAAGTTGTCCTGTTTTGAACTTTTGATACTATTTGAGGTGTTCTAATTTCAATTCATTTAAAAAACGTCAAAAAGGTAATCTCTCGTGTTAATTTACTTTAGCGATCGAATTTAATTCACTTTTCATTCATAATTTACAAGCTTGGTACGTTATTCTATTTTTGTGCACAGCTTTTCACCCCGTATTCTAAATTGTGTAATTCTTGAAGCCTTAAAAGTCTATCGCCGAGACGCACATTCATAATTTACAAGCTTGCTACGTTATTCTTTTTTTGTGCACAACTTTTCACCCTTATATTCTAAATTGTGTCATTCTTGATGAAGCCTTAAAAGTCCATCACCAATACGCACAATTCAATAATAGGTTGTTGATCCTACAAATTCAAATATGGAAAAATCATTAAAATAGTAAAAGTTCTTTCAACAACAACATTCAAGTCTTAGTCTCTAAAAAAAATTAAATCGACTAACATGAATCGATACATGATATTGAAGTTATCTGGGAGGATGTAAATTAAGCTTTGATTTCATACTAATAGAAAGAGAGTGAGACTTCATACCAGATCTTGCTTATTAGCTTGAAGTTGAACCGGTTCTCTCCCTTGTGACACTATACCTTCGTACCAGGTGAACTATGCCCCCACTTTCGCTTTTGACTCTTCTAATTCACGTCTGATGTCGACTTAGGTCTTCTTCTCTCTCCTCCCGGCCTACCTCTAGCTTCATCACGTCTCTCAACTTGTTTAGCAATGTATCACTCGAAATTCACTACACATGACCAACGACCCCAATCAACACTCTTAGGGTCCGTTGGTTCAAGGAATGTTAGATTACCATGGGAATGTTAGATTACTGGGTATGTTAGATTAATGAGAATGTACCAAATTTGTACCCTTTTGTGTTTGGTTAAGACTAAGGGAATGTGACATTAATTTATTTGGTTGAGTGGTATCTTACATTACATATTTGGTGAATGACTTCAATGCCCTTCAAATATTTTCTTTTTAACATAATAAACTTATTACAACTTACAATTAAAGTAATTAAAATTAAAGAAAAAGTGAAATATATCCTATTAATTATTACAATAAAAACTTATTGATTTATTTTTAAACAAAGTATATTTAATTGCACAAATGACATAGATTAGTGAACATTAGTAAATAATCTGATTTAAGTAAAAATAATCAACAAAAGACTAAAGATAAACTACAAGAACATGTACAGAAAGTTAAAAAAAGGATAAATATTTTACAGAAAGTTGAAGTTGAAAAAAGGATAAATATTTTACCTGATTCTTTTGGAATGAAAAGAAGAAACATTACGTAGATGTGGTCACAGAAGAGAGCTAATACGGTTCAAGGGTTCTCAGATGCTTCTTGTTCTAATTATATGAGGATGGGTATTTTGGAAGAAAAATTATAACTAAGAAGGAATGTGAGATAACCTAAGAGGGGGGAGGGTTTGACATTCCCCTTCATATTACATTCCCGGGAATGTAGCTTTCCCATTTTTTTCAAACCCGTGAACCAAAGAGGGGTATCTAACATTCTGTGCATCACATTCCGGCCTTCATGTGAGATCACCCCAACCAAACAGGTCCTTACATCTTAATGCATACCACATACTCTATATTATACCTACTCCAAACTACGGCGAACGTACGTACTACTTATTATACGTCTACTCCACATGCACAATTATACGAGTATATGTTATCATAGAATCTTGATGAAAAAGTAAACTTCTTGGACCCAATTCACTTACAAATTGAAACTTGAGGTGAGATCAGCAATCATATTGGGTAGCCATTTTACACAACGTCAAAGACAATTAAATTGCATGAGATCAGAATGTACTCACATGATGCCATTTATGCTTTAAAAAAAAATTATTTTGCAAAATAAATAGGTTTGGAGCAATCCAGCCTCCCGCCGATGTGGTAAATTTTGATTGTTCACCACCGCCAATTTGTACCAGGTTCACGCCATCTCCAATGGAGTTCTTCACCGTGTCGCCCGCCGGAGTTCGCTTTCACCACAATTAACGGACTCACCTTGATTTTGCAGGGAACTATAAGGCATTGATTATCTAATCTAAAAACATTATAATTGTGAATATAGGTTAATATCCTTGATTTATGTCAATGCTTTTTATGCCCACAAGCTTGTACGTTCTTGTTAAAATATAGTACTAATTTTTCTTAAGGACTAAAATAACCTTAACACCGTTAAAATCTTAACTTTGCACATACGTTAGCGCATTATTATTATAGCCATTATGACCACCTCAAACAATACGTTACTATCATCATTAATTTAGAAAATTTATAAATTAGATAATTTAGAAAATTTACTATCATTTTTTTTTATTAGAAATTTGTAATGGCTCAAAGAGTTTTGAATATTTGAGTAGAATAAGTAGTGTCACTCTTAATAAATCTTGTTAAATTGATATCTTTTCACAGTGTTTCCGCCCCCTATTTTCATATAATTTTATTATCTCCGTTTACTCAATTAATATTATGAAGTTCCGGTTGAAGTGGTTGAATCGATTGATATGCAGAAATCTATGAAGTTTTGGCTGAAGTGACTAGAATGGTTGATTCTACTGAATTATACTTCGTATATAAATATATTTTATATATTTTAATATTAGCAAAATCAATCAGAAAAGTAACGCAAAAAGTAACGCATACCTTACTTATTTTAATTATTACACAATTCATTGTGTGAAATTAAAGGTTATGTGTTTCGTGGAAAGTTGGCTATAAGGCTAATAAGACGAAAATCATAATCACCAAACGAGCTCTTAAAATTTTATAACATACAAGGGTTATGGGTATCCTTGAAGAGATTAAAATAAATGCATAATGTTCACCACAAGTAATACAAGGCTAGATAACATGAGTAAATTATGCAAATTGATTATAAGTTACCAAAGTGACAAAAGTTGGTATTGAGATGGGTTACCTTGCTCAACTTAGCCATTAAGCACAATGACCAAACCACAATAAACGACTGCATATATGTATAACTAAGTTGTCCCAATGTCATGTTCACTGCATATATGTATATATCTTTGTATGTTCTTATGGATGTGTAAGTTCAAGTAGCTCTATTTAATTCAAGGCTCAAAAGCTAATCAGCCTATAAATTGTATCCAGAGCCTTAAAACCTATCGTCATTTAAACTTATTTCACACTCTCATTTCCATTTAAAGTAACAAATATGTGGCTAAAATTATTTATCTCTTCACTAAACAAATTTTAATTACAAAGTTGTTACTTAACCAAGTTTTTGTGGGATGAAATGATATGTTAAAACAGAAAAGAATACAACTGAATCGCATAATTGCATACTTTAAAGTCATATAGACATATTTTCCACACAGTAAATAGTTGACATGGAATATAATTGATCAAACAATTTTTAAAATACTTAGGATATCTCAATAACTATTTACAAAACATTCATAATAATTGTGCATGTAATAGTTCTTTATGAAAAAAATTACTTTAATATTGAGCAATCACTCTCGCGCTTTGCGCGAGTAAGCGCTAGTATATATAAGAAATATGAATGCAACGGTTAGTCCATTCAAGGAAAACAAAGCATATGATACTTTTTTTTTAAAAAAATAACAAAGTGTTATTCTAGTATGTTAAGCTCCGGAGTTCCATCCTAAAAGGTCAACCTGATAGGAGGAGTAGGCCAAAGCCTTATATAGTGTTTAATTGTTTTATAGCTTTCCGGTGTGGGACAAATCCTTTAACACGCCCCCTCAGCCCGAATCGAGCTGGACAATACCAGGAGTATAAACGGGCCAAACAAACCCTTAACAAGCTACCCTTAATCATGGGTTCTAAACAAGCCGTCAAACCACAACCGGAATTGGTTCTGATACCATGTTAAGACCCGGGGTTCCATTCTAAAAGGTCAACCTGAGAGGAGAAGTAGTCCAAAACCTTATATAGTGTTGTTTTATAGCTTTCCAGCGTGAGACAAATGTTTTAACATGGTACGAACAATTTATTCAATAAAAAATTGGTTTTTATGATGTGAAATAAGTTTGAAAATAACACACAAAATTAGTTGTTATGTTGAATTCGAGAACAATGAAACCAATTGATAAAATCCTGAAGTGCTGGTTAATGCTTATGTTGGCAATTGACATACATATAATACATTGTTTTCCTTGCTTAAGTAATTAGAAAAATTGAGAAGGAAGAAAAATAGGGAAAAAGACAACAAATTTCCGGACACGTGTCTTCACACCTCGCCATGCACAACACAACATCCCCACCTCCTCGTTCCCGGGAATACTCTGCGATGCAAAATATTTTCAGTTTTTTTTTCCCTCCTTTCCCTGAGAATTCTTTCGATTCTCCGTCATGGACTTGCGGGTACCCCCGCCGCCGGGGCAACTTCCCGGCGACGCAGAGAATAAATGCGAGGCTGTTATACACCTTCACTCTCCCGGACTTTGGGACGTCGGCGACCCAAATTACCCGAGGGGGCTCCTCGATTATACTCTGCCCCTTCTTCTTCTGCAATTGTGTATCATCTTCTTCCTCACCCAATCCCTCTATTTGCTGATCAAGCCTGCTCGTATGCCCCGCATTGTCGCAGAACTTTTGGTATCTTCCTCTCTTACCCAGCTTTTTTAATTTTATTTTGTCTTGATTACATTTCAATTTCAATCCGCCTGCATTTTCCCCTTCAATTCAATCAAAACCCATACTTTTTTTCATGAATAGATAATATATCTCATTGAGTTATAGCATTCTTTGCAATTTGCATTATTTAGGCAAAAACTCCAACTTGGGGCTGAAATCCTCCTAAATTAAGCCTTCAATATAGCAATGTCTTGTTTGGATGTATGATTTATGTGGCTTAACAAAAGAAAAGTTAGCTGAAATGCTGAACTGAAACTCTTATGGGTTTTAGAATGTATCCAAACTCATTAATTCATTGTAAATTTGTTCTGGAACTGTCATTTATGAATTTATACTACGCATTATTCAAGAAAATAAATGCAATCAATGCAAGTCAAAGCATTTCTAGTTTCTTGTCAAACGAGCCTACTTTATTTAGTTAGTGTTTGAGATTCAGAAGTTCCTTTACAATACCCCCAAAATTAGACAACTATGCAGAATTTTGACCTTAGCTGTAAGCTCTAGGCCTCTGGCTTGTTGTGCCACAAAAAAGTGTTTGATATATGAGTGATTTCTCATTTGGATATACTAACTATAAGTATGAACAAGCATCCTGTTTGAAATGCTGAAAACTTCACCCCACATGATTTTTTTGGGGATGGTGGAAGGATTTGAATGGGTAGGGGCATGGAGGGTAAGACTATATTTTGATTTTAGCCATCTACTATAGTCATAAATATCTACTTGTATTAATTTTGATGAAAGAATGTATGTTTTGCAACAGGCTGGCGTAATACTAGGTCCCACAGTGCTGGGGCAAATTCCAGGATTCACAAACAAAATATTTCCCCCTCAAGGACACGTTTATTTAGATTTGTTATCCAAAATCGGCTACATCTTCTTTATATTCCTAAGTGGAGTGAAGATGGACCCAACATTGGTTCTCAAATGCGGCAGAAAGGCATGGACTATCGGAGTAATAGCTGTCATTCTTCCCTTTGCAGTTTTCTCCAATTTCGCAGCACAGTTAGCATACTACCCATCAATCCATAGGTATAGAAGGGCAGCTATAAAGTCCATATTTTCTATACAATTTCTCTATTCATTCCCTGTCACAGCTTCCCTCCTCGTTGACCTCAAAATAATAAACTCTGAGCTTGGCCGCCTTGCTTTGGCCGCAACCTTGGTTAGCGACTTACTAAGCAATGCTGGTTCCTCGTATTTCTCCTATGTAAAAATTGCAAACACTTCCGTGTTGCCTATAATGTCTGCACAGGCTTTTGCCTTGACCTTTGGCGCCTTTGCTCTTATCTTTTTTATTGTCCGTCCATTGTCCACATGGATCATTACACGGACACCTGAAGGGAAATCAGTCGACGCGTCTTTTGTCATCTTCTTGTCCTTTTTTGTCCTGCTGGCGGTCGTGGTCACAGATAATGTCGGGTTAAGCTATCAGTATGGTCCTTTCATGCTTGGGTTGATGATACCGGATGGACCGCCTTTGGGGTCCACACTAGTGGATAAGCTTGATACGGTTATATCGGGATTGTTGGCCCCTCTTCTGTTGACCTATTGTGGTATGAAAGTGAACCTCGTGGAACTGTATGATCTCTACTTTGTGATTGTGGTGTTGATTACCGTTACATTGTCACTTGTGGTGAAATATGTATCAGTTTTCTTTCCTAGCCTTGCCTGCAATGTCCCTCCGAAAGATGCTGCTTCTCTTGCGTTCATGATGAACACTCAAGGCCTCGTTCAGATGTCTTTCTATTTCAACAATGTCATTAATCAGGTATATGTGACTTACAATTTTTACTTTCTTGATTATAAGTCATCTAATTATTTGTATTGTATGGTTTTGACACCTGTACTCATTTATGTAACAATTTGGTACTCGACTTAACAGCTGCTAGATATATCACTTATACTTTTCAAGTTTTCAGTGCATATTTATCATACTTATAGTACCAGAGAGGCTAGAAGCTAAAACACTCATGTGTCATTGACTCATTGTCAACACTAACACAATGTCTACATTCAGTATTCTTAAATAGAGTTTTTCTTATAGTGCTCATCATCCTAAGAGGGGGTCTCATCGCAAGAACACATATGGTTTCTTTCTGTTAAGACAAAGATCACACATTTAATTGTAAGAATAAACTCATAAAACAGTGAATTGCTCTTCTCTTATGATGGAACCTTAGGAATTTATACATCATTTTTAAAGGTGATCTTTTTTTAGCTAAAGTTAACTAATCCTATGCCCACGCTAAAATGAAATGCAGACATTTGATGCAGAAACCTTTTCCATGCTGACATCGTCTGTATTAATCACCGCAGCAGCTACACATCTCTTTGTTGGGTTACTATATGATCATTCAAGCATGTATGCTGGCTACCGGAAAAGAAACATCGAGAACAGTTCATCAACCTCAGAGCTCAGAATCATATCATGTGTTCACCGACCCGAAGACGTGTTAGCAGTGAAGCAGTTATTAGACTCTTCCTTTCCTTCCAAAGAGAGTCCACTGTCAGTATATGCACTACACCTGGTGGAGCTGGTTGGCCAGGCAACCCCACTCTTAATTGATCACCAGCTAGGCCAAAAGCATTCCTCTCGAGTCAGCAACTCACGGTCACAGAAAATAGTAGACATGTTTCAGTCCTTTGAGCTCCAGCATGCTGAGTCAGCTACTGTCCAATTCTTCACGGCAATTTCAATGCCGAGGTTCATGCACCATGATGTATGCTCGCTCGCTTTCGACAAGCTGGCGTCTTTCATCATACTTCCGTTCCAGAGGAAGTGGAACCAGCAGGGTAGGGTGATCTCCGACAACTCTGTCTTGAGGACGATGAACTGTAACGTTTTAGATCTTGCTCCTTGTTCGGTCGGCATTCTGATAGACCGTCATAAGATAAGGAAACAGCAGGTGGGGGGCGTGGGGGATGCTTATCGTGTGGCTGTGGTGTTCATGGGTGGCTCTGATGATCGGGAAGCGCTTTCTTATGGGAAACGAATGTGCGGCTCACCAGAGGTTCACTTGACAGTTTTTCGTTTTGTTACGTTGAACCCTGAGATGGGTGAGAACCAATGGGATGCGGTTCTTGATGCGGAAATACTGAAGAGCATAAGGTTGTTAGGTCAACAGCAGGATAACATAGTGTACAGAGAGGAGAGAGTGACTGATGGAGCCGAGAGTGCTTTGATAATACATGCCATGGAGAGTGTTTTTGACCTTATTATGGTTGGAAGGCGGCACAAAGATGATATGCCTCAGTTGTCAGGGTTGACCGAGTGGAACGATTTTCCCGAGTTGGGACCCATCGGCGACATGCTTGCTGCTGCTGATATCAGCTCCCCGGTTTCCGTCTTGGTTGTGCAGCAGCAATCTACTAAGAACAACAAATGAGGAGGTGGGGGGAGGTGTCCAAGTTACTCATAAAAAAGTTAGTCATTTAGGCTTTAACACAAATTATTTGTATTAAAATATCAATGTGTACATGACATGAAATTTGGTCCTTGCTATAACTATACTCAGAATTAGATGTCTATAAATATTTCCCTTTCCATGGGATTGTTGTATCTCTAGGCTCTAATGGCAAAGGTTAAATGCTACTGTATAACTTAGCATGGAACAAGTAGATGTGACTCTTTTTAAAAAAGAAGAGGTTGTTATGTCTTTATGCTCTTTTAGAATTGAAGAAAGGCTAAAGGGTCAAATAGGCCCTTGAACTGACTTAAAGTATTCAATTAGTCCCTTATATAGGAGGTTCTGCACGGCCGTCGCTAATTGGGACGGTTCCCGGTGAAATTTTTTGATGATATTTTTTTAGCATCTTCTTCATTAAGTCTAGTTTACCCGTACCAAATTTCAGCTAAAAATTCAACCGGGAAGGCAGTCAAATGGTTTTCCGAAATGTACTGCGCTGTTTAACTTCACAATTATCTTCAAAAAATCATTTGATTGCCTTCCCGGTTGAATTTTTCGCTGACTTTTTGGTATTAGTAAACTAGACTTAATGAAGAAGATGCTCAAAAAATTTTATAAAAAAATTCCACCGGGAACTGCCCCAATTGGCGATGGCCGGGCAGAACCTCCTATATAAGGGGCTAATTGAACACTTTAAGTCAGTTCAAGGGTCTATTTGACCCTTTAGCCTTGAAGAAATTATAGCACCGCCCACAAATTGAATAGTATCAATTAGTTTTTTAGTATATCTTAATAGTATTTGTTTGATTTAGAATCAACCTTTGGTCTGGTATGGTGCAATGTGGGATGATTAATTTCTAGTGTTGGTACACATTCTATTTTAAGTATAAGGAATGAAAATAATTTATTTTAAAAAAGAACTTTAATTCTCAACATGTCGTAAACTCGCAACACAATTGACTTTATATTATTACCAAAGATTTTCATTAATGTGGTTCAATCCGTTGTCACTTACTTGGCAACGGATTCACAGAAACAGAATCATCCCATGTTAAGATCCTGAGTTTCATTCTAAAACTTTGATAGGAGTAGTAGCCCAAAATCTTATATAGTGTTTAATTATATAATACCTTTTCAGTGTGGGACAAATATTTTAACACGTCCCCTCAGCCCGAACCGGGAAGACAGTATCAAAGTGTACAAATGGGCTAAACAGACTCTTAATCATGGGTGCTAAACAAGCAGTCAAACCACAACTGGACTTGGCTCTAATACCATGTCAAGACTCAGGGTTCCATCCTAAAAGTTCAATCTGATAGCTGGAGTAGCCCAGGGTCTTATATAATGTTTTATTATTTTATACTTCGTATTTTTCCGGTGTGAGACAAATACTTTAACAAATTGGTGAATGTTATTATGGAATTTATGGCTCAGAATGATCTTGAACACATTTCTCAAAAGATACACTTTTGAAAAATTGGACTTCGTGGTTGAGAAGTTGTTAATTGAGGTGGAGGGGGATCCGTGCTCTGGGTTAGGCACTTCCAATATCATATTCAATTATGGTGAACTATCTCTAGTCTTGACATGTGGCAATATTTTTTTGAAATTTTTCACTCACAAAGCTAATGTCAGATTCTATGTCAAGATTGACTTTAAAAAAATCATAGAAGCTTCACTAGTCAGTACGTAAGCCTACACCATACAAGAGTTGGCATTGTTAGTAATCCATTGTAACTTAGATCGATATCCTGTTAATCTTTCATCTTCAACAAGGTTTAGAGGCGTGTCAGTTTTTACGAGTTCTTAATGTGGCGGTAATGAGTGGGTATCGAGATCGATTGATGTTATATCTGAATCATCTATTGCGGGTGAGAGCGTTGGACTGCGTGTAATTCTGTGCGTCTTTGAGTATGACATGACATGTGTCGTGGGTTCATCTAGTGCATATGTGTTAGATAGCATGTGTTGTGGCCACGCACTGTGAAAACGTAATGTGATCTAAAGATCACAAGGAGTCCATTCTTCTGTATAAGTTACGTGTATCTAGGTCATACAAAATTGGTGTTCCATATGAATCAGTTTTGGGTATGATTTCTCAATCGTCTAGTGAGAAGCTTTATATAAGTGATAACCTTAATCAGAAGCTTAGCTTCATTGTTTTGCGAACTCCAACGCAAAAACCTTCATGGAAGGAAGTCAATATACAATGATTGTCGCCCTCTCCATCTATAAGTATGGTGTGGACCCCCTATGGAAAGAAATGACGACGATTATAAAAATGACAACGACGAACTGATAAAAAATGAATGACGACACAATCCAGACAAAGTATTTGATCGAGAGGAGGGGTGTTGAAGTCCCACACCGACAATCTAAGTAATAAAGTGCTATATTAAGAATATGAGTTACTTCTCCTATCAGGTTGATCTTTGAGGATGAAACTTCAAATCTTAACATAGCATTAGAGCCAAGTCCGGTTGTGGTTTGAAGGCTTGTTTAACACTCATGATTAAGGGTAGTTTTTTAAGGGTCTATTTGGCCCATTTATACACCCCGATATTGTCTTGTCCGGTTCAGACTGAGGGGACGTGTGAAAGCATTTATCCCGCGTCGGAAAACTATAAAACAATAAAATACTATATAAGACTTTGGACTAGTCCTCCTATCAGGTTGACCTTTTAGGGTAAAACAACGGGTGTTAACATGATATCTATATATAGTGTTTAATTGTTTTAAAGATATCTGGTGCGAGACAGCAACACACCTGTTCACGACCAGACATTTCGTCTGAATCATGTCGTCATTCATTATTTCATCGTTTTGTCATTGTTGTTTTTTATAACTAGTTTTCAAGCCCGTGCATTAATAACTAGTTTGCGTACTGGATCAGTACGCAATTTAGCTAATTTTAAATGTGATTTTTTTAAAAAAAATTGGTTCTGGAATAAATTTATACTACCTCCGTTCTTAAATAAATGCAACATATAAAATTTTACACTATTCACATGTTCTACTTTGACTACGTTTTATTTATTAATGTATTGATATTATTTTATGAAAATAACATTGTTAAATTTGTCTCATTGTAAATGTTCAAAATATAATTTTTTAAATTTTTTTACTTATACAAAATTATACTCCGTATATATTAATGGTTAACGTTGTGTCTCGGCAAGTGTGAAATGTTGACCGTTGTATTTATTTAAGAACGGAGGAAGTATTAATTAATAAATTTATAGATGCATGAACATAATCACCCTGCAATCATGAAAAATATCATTAGATTTTTGCGTAAAATAAATGCATTAAAAATTGAAATTAAAAAAAAGTATACCTCTTCATCAATCAAAACCATGTCTAGACAAATTAAACTTCCTTGCATTTTGTGATTGATTACATCACAGAGGCGCGTAACACGAACTTTGATTGTCCAATCGGATTTGGATGTATCAAGTTGACGTATTAGAGAATAATTTCTGTATTTTATGTAATTTTAATCAATCATGTATAATCATAATATCATGTATCATAAACATGTTAATTGTAAAGTATCATACTACCATAGTTTTAAATAATATATAATTAAAATACTGTATAAACTTACTGTGATGACATACTTGATAGATGATCTCTATAGGACTCTTCAAACGAAGGAGAAACTCGATCAGAACTGAAAGAATAGTGAAACTGTGAAAGCATACTTTAGATTACATTCTCTTCCTTTTTATAATATTAAGTGTTCAACTTTACTTAAATTTTATGTTTCTAAATTCCAATTATAGAAACATACGAATAGTAACATAACATAAAATAAATTCACAATATGTAAAGTTGTGGATTTAATACTCCCTGCGTAATACGATGGTATAATATTGAAGATCCATTATTAAACTTGGATTCCAATTATAGAAACATACGAATATTGAAGATTCATTATTAAACTTGGATTCCAATTATAGAAACATGTGAATAGTAACATAAAATATAACATAAAATAAATTCACAATATGTAAAGTTGTGAATTTAATACCCCTTGCATAATACTATCATACGATGATATAATATTGAAGATCCATTACTCCGTATTAAACTTGGTTGCCGTGATTTTGAGGTTGCCAAATTTACCAATACGGTGAATTCTATATCAACATGTAATAAAAATATAATCAAATAATAAATAAAAGGTATAAAAAGTAATTAAATAATTGTCATATATGATGACATGGCAGAGCTATGTGGCGCGTTGTATGCTCTTGAAAAGTTCCTTTTATATATATATATATATATATATATATATATATATATATATATATATATATATATATATATATATATATATATATTGATTGTGTCGCCATTTTTTTAAGGGACCCCCACCATGGTTATGAGTTGATTTAGCTCTGATACCATAATGAAGGTAATGTATGTATTGTGGAAAGTATTGGAAGAGAGAGAAAATCATCCTTGTGTATTGCCGCATATATATGTGTGTCTATAATTATATGATGTACAAATAAGGTAACCAACTACCTAGTGATAAACCGCTTTTGCGACGTTGTAGTAAAATGGAGTTTAATCCTTCCGGATGAAAAAGTTTATCCCCGAGTATCATGTCTCAGAGGATCGGAATGATGAAAAGTTTCTTGATTTTAAGTTCAGTCACAGGTTATATCAATTTATTGGAAGCTTTCCAAATTAAAATTTTTGATTGATTGTCTAAACTACTTTGTAAAACAAAGAACTTAAATTATGCAAATAATAATGATGACTCAAAAATAAACTAAATGAAAATTATATATTTATGCTCTAAATAGATTGATCAAAGCAGGCTTAAAGTGCTCTTCCAACATCTCACTCTTACTCCGCCCCTACTTAGAACATTATATTTTTCTAAATTTATATATGACATATTGGTATCATATGAAAGATTATAAAAAATTATGAATTGTGATACATATATTTATATAAAAAACAAAAAATAAATAAATAAGTTGTAAAGCTTTTAAAAAGAGGGAGTTTTATATTTCTGGGGACGCAACAATTTTTGTAAAACTTACACTCTTAGGAATAGAATGTACAAAACGTACACTGAATGGTCAAAAGCCCTGATAAAACACGTGCAAACCTTTTATAATAAATAGATAAAAGACACAGTATATGTGAAAGCTTACTATTTTTATACAAAAAATCATGTTA